AGAGACGACTGCAATCCGAGATTTCACCATTGAGCCAGAAAACCAGACGGCATGGGAATCAGCCTACACCCCAGCGGGCACTTACCCATTGCCAGGTCTGTGGGATCTTCTCGGCCTCAGAGGGCTGTGTTTAGAAGAATGATTCTCACACTCAGGGAAGTGTCAGCATCATGGGGAGGGCTTCTCAAGTCCACACTGTGCGTGCCCCACTGTCTCTGATTCAGTGGGGCAGGGTGGGGTCTGAGAATTTGCTTTTCTATCAAGCCTACAGGCAGCGCTGGTGCTGTTGGTCCAGAGCCCAGGCTTTGAGAAGCATGGATTTAGATAAATGAGATGATGTAGAAGTACCTGAAAGATGACCTGGATTGTCTTCAGTAGTAGCCAGGCCTCCACGTCCAGTAGGTTGTGTGGATGGTGCCCCCTAAAATCTCACAATGCACAGCCTGAGGGTGGTGGGGAGTTTCCTGGTCCCTTCCCCCTCTCCTTCTAGAGACACTGTGCGAAGTTCCATTAGGAAATATCCGAACACATCTCTGAGCTCTTGAGAGGAAGGTTTTGCTGTAGAGGGAATGGAATTCAGCTTCTCTGCATGAGCTTAAATCGGGGCAGAGTTACTAAACCCACACCTCATCATTCTTCCTCCTTTCCTCCAGGGGTCCCCCCTACGTGGCCTCCCACTAATGCAGCAACAGAGGAGAGCACAGAAGGCTCTTCTGCAACAGAAGGGCCCTTGGCCTCGGAGGAGCCGTCCCCCTCAAAGGAGCTGTTCCCCTCAGAGGAGCCGTTCACACCTTCACCCCCACTTCCCAGCAGGACAGAGCTACCAGGCTCTGGGGAGACATCTGGGGCACCAGAAGTCAGTGGTGACTTCACAGGCAGTGGAGAAGCCTTGGGGCCCCTGGACTTGAGTGGGCAGCCCTCGGAAGACCTTGACTCCAGTGGTCTCACCTCTACAGTGGGCTCGGGCCTGCCTCTGGGAAGTGGACTGGCCTCAGGGGATGAATATAAAATTACGTGGTCCAACACTTCTGAAGTTGGTGGGCTGCCCTCTGGAAGTGAGGGCCTAGAGGGCTCTGTCTCTGGAGTAGAGGACGTCAGTGGACTTCCTTCTGGAGAAGGTCCAGGAGCCACTGCCTCTGGAGTAGAGGACGTCAGTGGACTTCCTTCTGGAGAAGGTCCAGGAGCCACTGCCTCTGGAGTAGAAGATGTCAGTGGACTTCCTTCTGGAGAAGGTCCAGGAGCCACTGCCTCTGGAGTAGAGGACGTCAGTGGACTTCCTTCTGGAGGAGAGGGTCATTTAGAGACCTCTGCAGGGTCACGTGGAGACCTCTACCTCTGGAGTAGAGGACGTCAGTGGACTTCCTTCTGGAGGAGAGGGTCACGTGGAGACCTCTACCTCTGGAGTAGAGGACGTCAGTGGACTTCCTTCTGGAGGAGAGGGTCACGTGGAGACCTCTACCTCTGGAGTAGAGGACGTCAGTGGACTTCCTTCTGGAGGAGAGGGTCACGTGGAGACCTCTACCTCTGGAGTAGAGGACGTCAGTGGACTTCCTTCTGGAGGAGAGGGTCACGTGGAGACCTCTACCTCTGGAGTAGAGGACGTCAGTGGACTTCCTTCTGGAGGAGAGGGTCACATGGAGACCTCTACCTCTGGAGTAGAGGACATTGGTGGACTTCCTTCTGGAGGAGAGAGTCATTTAGAGACCTCTGCTTCTGGAGTAGAGGACATTGGTGGACTTCCTTCTGGAGGAGAGGGTCATTTAGAGACCTCTGCTTCTGGAGTAGAGGACGTCAGTGGACTTCCTTCTGGAGGAGAGGGTCATTTAGAGACCTCTGCCTCTGGAGTAGAGGACGTCAGTGGACTTCCTTCTGGAAAAGAAGACTTGATTGGGTCAGCTTCTGGAGCCTTGGACTTTGGCAGAATACCTTCTGAAACTCTAGGAAGTGGGCAGGCTCCAGAAGCAAGTGGCCTTCCCTCTGGACTTAGTGGTGAGTATTCTGGAATGGACCTTGGAAGTGGCCCATCTTCTGGCCTGCCCGACTTGAGTGGACTTCCATCTGGGTTCCCAACCATCTCCCTAGTGGATACTACGTTGGTGGAAGTGGTCACAGCCACCCCTGCAGGTGAACTGGAAGGGAGGGGAACCATTGGCATCAGTGGTGCTGGAGAAGTATCTGGGCTGCCGTTCAGTGAGTTGGACGTTAGTGGGGGAGCCAGTGGACTCCCTTCAGGAGCTGAACTCAGTGGCCAGGCATCTGGGTCTCCTGACATCAGTGGGGAAACATCTGGACTCTTTGGTGTCAGCGGACAACCATCAGGGTTTCCTGACATCAGTGGGGGAACATCGGGGCTTTTTGAGGTCAGTGGGAAGCCATCAGGGTTTCCTGGGGAGACATCTGGAGTGACCGAGCTCAGTGGACTGCCCTCCGGACAACCAGAAGTCAGTGGAGAAGCTTCTGGAGTTCTCTTTGGTAGTGGTCAACCATTTGGCATAACCGACCTGAGTGGAGGAACATCTGGGGTCCCCGATCTCAGTGGGCAGCCATCAGGGTTGCCAGAGTTCAGTGGGACAACCTCTGGAATCCCTGACCTGGTGTCCAGTGCCATGAGTGGTAGTGGCGAACCTTCTGGCATCACATTTGTGGACACCAGTTTGGTCGAAGTGACTCCAACTACATTTAAAGAAGAAGAAGGTTTAGGGTCTGTGGAACTCAGCGGCCTCCCTTCCGGGGAAACGGACCCCTCGAGCACATCCGGGATAGTAGATGTCAGTGGACAGTCTTCTGGAGCAATCGACTCCAGTGGGTTTACATCCCAGCCCCCAGAATTCAGCGGTCTACCAAGCGGAGTAGCCGAAGTCAGCGGAGAAGCCTCTGGAGCTGAGATTGGGAGCAGCCTGCCCTCAGGAGCATATGATGGCAGTGGACTTTCTTCGGGTTTCCCCACCATCTCTCTCGTAGACAGGACTTTGGTGGAATCTGTAACCCAGCCTCCAACAGCCCAAGAAGCAGGAGAAGGGCCTTCCGGCGTTCTGGAACTCAGCGGTGCCCATTCTGGAGCGCCAGATGTGTCTGGAGACCCTTCAGGATTTCTGGACCTAAGCGGGCTGCAATCCGGGCTGGTAGAGCCCAGTGGAGCACCATCAAGTACTCCGTATTTTAGCGGGGACTTTTCTGGTACCAGCGATGTGAGCGGGGAATCCTCTGCAGCCACGAGCACCAGTGGGGAGGCCTCAGGACTTCCAGAAGTTACTTTAATCACTTCTGAGTTCATAGAGGGTGTTACGGAACCAACTGTTTCCCAGGAACTCGGCCAGAGACCCCCTTTGACACATACCCCCCAACTTTTTGAGTCCAGCAGTGAAGCCTCTGCATCTGGGGACATCAGTGGAGCTACATCAAGGTTCCCCGGTTCTGGGATAGAAGCGTCATCAATCCCAGAATCCAGCAGCGAGACCTCTGCCTATCCTGAGGCTGGGGTGGGGGTGTCTGCTGCTCCGGAGGCCAGTGGAGGAGCTTCCTGGTCCCCCGATCTGAGTGAAACCACCTCTGCCTTCCATGAAGCTGATCTGGAGAGAGCCTCAGGCTTGGGAGTGAGCGATACCACCTCAGCCTTTCAAGAAGGACCCAGGGAGGGCTCGACCCCACCGGAAATGAGTGGAGCATCGACCACCACCTATGATGTGGGTGCAGAGACATCGGGCTGGCCTTCGGCCACTCCTGTGGCTTCTGGAGAAAGGACTGAAATCAGCGGAGACCTGTCTGGTCACGCCTCAGGGCTGGATGTTGTCATCAGCACCAGCGTCCCAGAGTTTGAATGGACCCAGCAGACCGAGCGCCCTGCAGAGGCGCATTTAGAAATAGAATCCTCAAGCCCCTTGCACTCAGGAGAAGAGACCCGAACAGCCGAAACAGCCACCACCCCAACAGACGCTTCCATCCCAGCTTTCCTAGAAGAGACAAAGGACTCGGAGGCAACCACTGCAGGTACTGTTGGGATTTTTTTTCTTTTAAATGTTTTTGGATAGTTCTGACCGTAACATAGCAGGAGACACTGTAGATTCAAGGTTCTGAGCACAGCTCCCCACAGGTTAGCTGTGCAGCCTCAGGCAAGTTTCTTAACCTCTCTGATCCTTATCTGTAAAATAGGAATAGTACCAGGGAAGGTTAAACAGCATATAAATCCATATGAAACAAGCACTTGGCATCATACTTTACGCACAGTACATGCTCCTAACGATTAGCGATTGTTACCGTCGCACTGAAGTCACATCATGAGAACATTTATATGGGAACTATTTGTACTTGGCACCGGGAGAGGGAAGCATGAGTATTTATACGGTGTGAAAATTCTGTTCCTGTCCCCTTCCCAAGGAATGAGGATGAGATGAGAGAATGAACCTACTGAACCAAATATGTACTTTATGCAGGGTTCAAACCTGCACAGTTTAAGGAATGACGAAGTGTCATTTTGGCCGAGTCCTGACCTTAGACCCTGTGTCCCCACCCTAGTCCTGGTATGAGTGACTGCTCTGTACTGTAGCGATTGTCTCACCTCGATACCGCCCCAGCACCAGGCACCGGGAGCTGATCCTGTCCCATTGCTGTTCGCTTTGGGATCCCTTGCACCTCCCTGTCTGCTGAGAGATCTGTCTGAGTCAGAGAGCCTTGCCCCCAGGTGCTATGGCCAGGTGACCAGGGGGACAGAGTCCTCGCAAATGTGTTGACCCAAAGTCCGCCTCATGAGCTTGGGAGACCTCATGCCCGGACCTCGAGGGCTCGGAGGCTCTAGATTCTTGATGCTCAGCCTCTCCCTGGGGGTGGCAGCTCCTGCCAGGTCCTGTGCCGAGGAGCCTTGTGGCGCTGGGACCTGCCAGGAGATCGAGGGACATGTCATATGCCTGTGCCCCCCTGGCTACCCTGGTGAGCATTGCGACATAGGTAAGAACCTCATCGGGGTAGGGAATGCAGACAGGGGAGGGAAGGGCCTTCTTCATCCCCAGAAAGGACTGTAGGAGGGAAGAGTGACCAAGGTCAGCTGAGGCCCAGGCTTCTCAGACCGGGAAGCAGAGGTACACAATGATGTGTAGGGGTAGAACTCAAGAAAAACATGGCACATCTTTCTAGAGCATCTATTCCACATCATAGTTTAAGAGAAAAAATAATCAAGTCACTAAAATGAGAAGTAGTTTTTTGTCGAGCCAATGATTGTTCGTAGAAAGGAAAGTGTGCTTGAATTTGCAGATAAAAAGAGCAGCTTCAAAGAAATGTTGAATGAGGCTGTGTATGGGATACACCCCGTCACGCCACAGCCCACGGATGCTGGGAGGCACACTCTGAGGGGCTGTCTTGCATCGTGCAGAGCAAACCTCTCCAGGAAAGCCCCTGTAGTCCCCTGCAGGCCTGGGTCTGGGTGGAGTTTGGGTCCCCCTCTCACCCCAAAGGAAATGATACAGACAGTGCTTATCACCCCCCGCTTCAGAATTCACAGCTGCAGTCAGCTGTGACCCAGTGATGCCCTGCCACTGTGTATCCACCACCCTCAGGCCTCGGTTTGTCCTTAGCCAGGGGTCAAGCAGCCTGTGGAACAGGTGAGGAGCCTGGGGGAATCCTCCGATTGGATGTAGCCTCCAAAACAAGGTGATAGAATCTCCCTGTCATTCCTTGAACACTTGGAGGCCGGTGGCCATGAGCACATGCCATCTCATCAACCTCACGTCCTTGAGGGAAGAAACACCCAGTTATCTCCAAGCTCATATTCTTAGGTTGGCTCTGCACTGCCCCCACACCCTCCCCCTCACCTCTGTCCAAAGTCGGGAAATCAGAAATCAGGATCTTTCAGGAAAGATAAGACCTTCAGTCCTAGGACAGGTGCAAAATCAGAGCTGTGAGTCCTGAGAAAAACAGCCACTACCAGGCAACCCCTTCCGGGCAGCTGTCCACCAGCAGCTGTGCATTACACACCAAGAAGACTTCTCTGTTTCCATGTACATTAACATACGTGCAAATTAACACCGTACAACATATTATATATTTATGCAATATGAATATGCTATACGCTTGGCACTTCTCCAGGAGGTATCTATGTACGTATAGATACACAGGCACCACGGTGGACATCTGGTCACTCTTCCCACCCTGGCGTCTGCCATTGCCCACATATGGGGGCCGTGACTGAGGCCAGAGAGGGTCCTGGCCTTGGCTGAAGGTACGGTGTTTCCACTGGGCCATAGTGATCCCAGGGACTGTCCCTTTCCACGGCCTCTGACTTGGGAGAAGTGTACCTGAAGGACACTTGGGGAGACCCTGTGTGTGCTTTCCAGCTAGCCAGGCCCAGAGTCCTCAGTGTGCGCTGGAAAGGGCTCTGCCCATCCCTGGCGGACACCATACCAGGTCTGCATACACCTCTTCCCTCCCTCTAGGTATGCGAGTGGAGAGCCCCAGGGCAGCTGACTTGAATGAAGTGTTACGGCGCTCAGCTCAGTCGGCCAGCTTAGCCTGGGTCAGCGAGAAACAGACTCAGAACCCAACAGGCCTTCGGGGACTGGGGCAGCCACCAGGGCAGGAACCCCTTTACCCTCTCTTAGTATCTTTTGACACCCCTTTATTCTTAGCATATGCCCTTCCCCAACCTGATACTTGAAGCAAAAATGTGATGCTGGTATCAAAAGTCACCACAAGGCTCAAGTCCCAGAACCCTGAAATTAGAAGCAGGTGACAAGAGACCTTAACTAATCTACAGTAAGGGCAGCCTTTCTCTAATCATATATTTTAAAAAGGCTTTCTTTCCTACGATTTCTGTGAGGAGCTTAGTCACTTCACTTGTTCCCTTACCTGTAAAATGGTACAATGACGTTCGTGCCACAGGGATGTTGGTGGGGGGTAATGTGCGCGTGAGACACAGCATCTGGCTCGGAAAAGATTCTTGGGAGATCCTGGTACC